ATGTAAACGATTTTTGGGTTTCTGAAAAACCGGTTTTTGTGGAAAAAACACCCTGTATGTAGTCAAAATCAAAAATTTTGTGATTTTGTTCTATTTGCCTTTCAATTATCTATCAAACAAAAAAAAGAAAAATTAAATCGGTTCAGTGGATCTCGATCTATAGCGGCTCAAAGTACGCGCCCGGGCGCCATTTTGAATGGCCGCCATCTTGGATCTGCCACTAAATTCGAAATGCCTCTTCGACTCAAAACTCTTAAAATGTCATCTACTTTGACCCCTGAAAACCGCTAAACTGTATCACGATTTGCCACTAAGTTGCAACTAGCCACCGTACTAACCGCCGATTTCATTGCTCAGGTTATTGTATTGAACCATCCTGGTCAAATCTCCAATGGTTACACACCCGTCTTAGACTGTCACACATTGCTTGCAACTTCGCTGAAATCAAAGATAAATGTGACCGTCGTACCGGTAAAACCACTGAAACCGAACCCAAGAGCATAAAGTCTGGAGATGCAGCCATGATCAACCTCGTGCCCACCAAGCCACTGTGTGTTGAATCTTTCTCAGAATTCCCTCCTCTTGGACGTTTCGCCGTCCGTGGTATGAGGCAAACTGTCGCCGTTGGTGTCATCAAGAGCGTACAAGCCAAGGATCTTTCTGCTGGTAAAGTAACAAAGGCTGCAGAAAAGTCGCCGAAGAAGAAATATGAGCCGTCAAAGCCCCATTCGCATGTTAGTTGGAGCTTTTCAGTGTCGTCGGTAGGCAGAGCAACTTCGAACGACTTGATAATACTGGTGGCAGTGGCATTAAGGAGGGATTGCAGTTTTTCCTCCGCCGAGGTTTCGGTCGCCGTAACCTCCGGGAGGAATTCCCTAATTATTTCTCTTAGTTTCTTGACGCATGGAAAGGAACAACCTAACCTCTGCAGCCAGCTTCGAAGTCTCTCATATTTGGAGTTGGAAAGGTCCAAATCTAGATACAAAGCAAGTATCTCTTCATCGGAGAAGGCCGGAATCGACTTTTTAGCGGGAGCTTCTGATGTTAAAGTGGCAGTAAATTGCAATTCCAACTCAGTCCGGGTGTTTAGGAGCTCAGAAACTCTGCGTTTCTGCGTCCGTAAAGACGCATCCTCCAAGGAGGGGACTTCGGATCTCCCGCGTCGAGGCTCTTGGGCAGGTCCTACACTTAAACTGCAAGTTGGGATAGGGCTTCGATTGCTTACATTTTTCGATAGTCTCATACGGGAGAAGGATGTCCATCGATAGCCAGCTCTCGTATCGAGACTTCATAAGGGTTCGAACCCTTCCACACTGCGCCCATTTGGTGCGCGATAAGTTGTTGCTGCTAAATCTATGGCGTTGATAACTTCTTTTGGCAGATTCTGTAGGTTTAAACGCTTCTTAATTTCACTTACTACTGCCGACCTTTTGGGATGTCGTGGACTTCCAATCCATGTGTTTTGCAAATCGGCGTTTTTTATTTTCGTCAGAAAACCTGGGTAACAAAATAAATAAACCAACAAATTAATTAATGATATAATAACAAAATAAATAAATCAGAAAACTTATCATTAATTTATATTCGAAACAAGAATTTAGTAAAAGACTAAAAGTTGGACATCCCCTGGAGAAACAGAAAAATGAATCAATAATTAGAGGAGGAAAACAATAAGCGCAAGAGACGGAGGAGGGGGGATAAGATTCGATGGGACATCGAATCATCCATCCTTTTTCCTATCACATGCAACCTCAACTGGAAATCGTGCCTTGAGACAACCCCTTTTACCTACGCCGACTAAATATGTACTATCCTGATTATATCTCCAGAACCATTGGTAAAATAAGTTGAGTTACCTTCTTTTGAAGCTTAATCCATTGAAATATCTCTGAGAAAATTCCTTCTCTGTTCCTCTGAACTTTCATACTCAGAGGGCACAGTCAGCTCCTTCGCTTCCTTGAATTTTTTACTTCCTCCCGTTTTATTTGGATTTGCATTAAGGTTCAGATAGGTACATCCTAATAACTTTGATTCCGAATCAGGCCTAGGTCAATCAATTTTGAACTTTGATATCCATCTAGGTGCTTAATTTATTTTCATCATGTGAATAAATTTTATGGGAAGGTTACCGTCGCAAAGGCAGGGACAAATTTAGTTGATTTGACTGCAGGAAAGTGAGTCTGATAAGGAGAAATTTACTTCGAATGTCATTGGCAAACATTTGTTTATTACAGACAGGCTATTTGTCACGTAAACTTGGTTCTTGCCTGCCCAACAATGGGACCAAGTGAGTATTTCTGAATCATTTTAAAAAGTTCAAACCTTTAGCAGCAGCGCAATCAGTGCATGTCGCCTTTAAAATCTTGGGATTGTCGGGGTGTTCGTCGATCTCACAATGGATGGAATAACTTTCCTTTCTCATATTGTGCTCCGGTGAAAGAGCCATGCACAAAGTGGCCCATTTTTGGGCCCTCGAAATTGGGGTCGGAG